AAAAAAATTAGAGAATTTGTCCGATTTTTTTTTATAACAACCCAAAATTGCCCGACTGTTAATCGAATATTGCCCGACTGCCCAAAAAACTGGGGGGGCGGCCGCCCCTCCCCGGCCCCCCGCCCGGTACGCCTATGACAGCCAAGTTTTCAGGGGCGTAGGAAGCTTAGAAAAGTTGGGGGGGGGCATGCTTTGAGGGGCACTTTCCAAAAAAAAAAGGGGGCATCTCAAAATCCCGTCGCCAAAAAATTTCGGTCAGTGTACCATTTTAGGGGTAAAAAATTTTTCCGGACATACCATATTTCTTCTTAAATACAAAAAAATTTTCCGGACAAACCAATATATTATATTTTTCTCGGAAACTAAAACATTTTTCGGGAAAAAACATAGATTGAAGTTTTCAAAAGTTTCGTTTGGACAAAAAAATGCAAATTTTATGGAAAATTTTCAGGCACAAAAAGGGCACTTTGCTCCTGGAAAAAGGGCACTTGCCAAAACTTGGGGGGCCATGGCCCCCTGCCCCCCCCCCCGGTTCCTACGCCCCTGCAAGCTTTCCTTTCACACGGATACGATTGAATATTTAATAATGGATACCAGTAATATTTGTTAGGCACTGAGAACAATAAAATGTTTTGTTATGAGTTTCGTTTTGTTTTGTATCGAAATTCATGTTTTGCAACTGAATTTAGCTTAATTACAACATTCTACCTATGATAGAAAATGCATGCCATGCAAATAGTGGAAGTTTTTGTCAAAATGTTAGTTAAAAAACTATTTAACATAGATATGCAAAAAAGGATTAAATATTTTCGAAGTTAAATTATGTTGACTCGGTCCAATTTATTTCGTTATTGTCTGTCCAGTTCCGGGGGCAAAATAAGGTGGAAGCAGGGGCAAGCGAGCACAGCAGAATAATTCGTGTATTTTTACCTGTTTATATATAGGTGTGCATATAGAGAACATATCATCGATAATAAATTCGCTCGTACATTGTCATGTTTTACAAGTCCATGTTTTAGAAGTCCATGTTTTAGAAGTCCATGTTTTACAACTGATGTTTTACAAGTCCATGTTTTACAAGTCATGCATGTTTTACAAGTCCATGTTTTACAAGTCATGCATGTTTTACAAGTCCATGTTTTACAAATCATGCATGTTTTACAAGTCCATGTTTTACAAGTCGACGCCATGTTTTACAAGTCCAGTCCAAGGTCCAGTCCATGTTTTACAACATGCCCTATTCACATTAGAAACGGACAAGCCGTTCTATCAAAAATCGTCTTCACAGACGGACAAGTAGTCGAACAAATTCATCTGATGATTTGTCCGACTAAAAGACGATTTTGAGACGATTTGTTCGTCTGGACGACTTGTCCGTCTTCTAATGTGAAAACGGCTATTTTATAGTGATCACAACTACAATACACGCTTCCGGAAAGTACGTCACCTTGCTAATGATAGAGCCTCGTTTTGACGTTTTTGTGATTGAGGCGCGGCCTTTAACTGATGTCAGATGCACGGGAACGAGGCTCTATAGCCAAAGTGACGTACCTTCCGAAAGGGTGTATTAGATTGTCGTTGTGTGAAATTTAAATTTCTCATGCGACATTTTGATTGGATATACTATTAATAATATAAACTTTGCTGTGGGTGGAAAGCGATCGGATTAAGGTTTGTGTCAGGCTATATTTATAAAATAAAGCCTGATCTCAGGTTAAGTCACAAGCGGAAACTTCACCCTAGCCTGTAAGCGGGATAACGTTTCTTCATATGAACAGAACAAAATTATTTGGCTGGTCGAAATGTTTTCTCGCTAACCAGGATATAACTTTCCCCATATGAACAGTCCCTAATTATGTGAGTCTATCGTTTTTACGATCCTGTTATAAACAGTTTTTTTATACTGTATGTCACCGCCCCTAGGCCTTCGATCTGTTTTTATGCCCCCCCCCCCGGCTGTCAATCGAAATATCACATGATTAATCATAATTTCGAATGCGGACGGCGGACCACACCACTGTGCGGACTACTGCAGGGGAGGCCAAGCCTTTTGACAGGGGAGCAGGAACCGGGGGGCCAAGGCCCCCAAGTTTTCAGAAGACACAAAAGTGCTCTTTTTCCGGTGGCAAAGTGCCCTTTGCCTTGGTGAAAAATGTTGTTCAGATTGCATTTTTGACTCACGGGACATCTGTGAGTCTTTGTGGTTACTTGAGTGTGGGGCAGTTAAGTTAAACAATGAGAAATGTCCAGCTTGCTTGGCGCGCACTCTTTGGCTGCGAATCAGGTCTGTCAGAACCAGAAATCGGGCTGGAGCACGACAAATGGCAAAATTTACACGGTGCTCGTTTGCAAAAACAACTGCAAACTGCTTTAATTATTTCTGTCACCGTTTTATTTGATCTCATCCGTGAGTCGGCCTCAACGGCCTTTGATTTATGATTGCATTTGTACATGTAATATGCACTATAGTGTATCGATACCGCTATATGACAATGAAAGAGAGACTTGGAGCAAGTCTAACTCCCCCCGGCGCCAACATTTCCGGGAAAAATTTTTTATATGTCCTTTTGGCCGCTTTTCATTCCAAAAGTGCTCCTCGAAACCAGCGCACCCCCAACTTTTCGATGCCTCGTACGCCCCTGCCTTTTGAGGAAGTAAGGGCTTGTTCATAGCGGCAGAAGTTATCCCGGTTAGCGCGCGAGAAAACTTTTCGACAAGTTTACAAGCGAGATCTCGCCTTGTTATGAAAATAATATGAAAAGTTACACTGCGTTCATATGAGACGAAAAGTTTTCCTGTGTACCGAGATCTCGCTTATTGACAGGCGAGATCTCGGTGACCGGGTAACTTTCTGTCGTGTCAGCCACTTTTCATTTCAATTGTTGAATTGCTTTACGTCACAGCCAGAAACTTTACCCGGTAAGCGGGTAACGTCTTTCCATGGTTAGCACTTTTTTCCATCCAGCAAACCGCCCTATCGATTTTGTAAATTCGTTTCTTTTTGGATTTTTTTATTAATTCGGTTAGGGTTAGAGTTAGGGTTGAGGTCAGGTTAGGGGTTAGAGTAGGGGTAGGGTTTGGGTTAGTTACGTAGCCATTTACAGTAACACCTCTTCTATCTTGCGAAAATGACGTCAGGTCAGTTTACTGGATGGAAAATAGTCCATATGAATAGAGACAGAGGGGAGCAAAAGTATTTGGCTAGTCGAAACGTTGTCTCGTTAACCGGGATAACTTTTGCCCATATGAACAGGCCCTAAGTTTCTACCACAGAAATATAGAATAGATATTGGGTTTCTGCTTAGACCGCGAGCAGTACCCGCGGAAAGAGGGACTGCTCGGAGTCTAGTTTCTACTTTCATGCTCTGACTAACCACGGTTACTAACTGACTTTCATCTAAAATGGCGCCAACCAAGGCCAAGGCCCCAACTGCTGACGATTCGGTTAGTACGAGTACTAGTAGAGCCGAACTCAAACGAAGTTCTAGCATAAATATTCCCTTGGTGCTTCGACCAGCGACTTTTGTGGCCAATATTACTAAAGAAAATGATCTTTTTAATGCCACTGAAACTAACATTCGGGCGAAACTCCACTCAGAGAAAGAAGAAGATGTGTCGCAAGATGGTAAGCGTACTTTTTTAAAGAATTTTATCATATAATTTTATTTTATAATCGTTTGAATCTGGCTTTAACTTTTGGGAAAGAAAGTCGATGCCATTTTGAATTTTTGTTGTCGTTTTGTATGTTGTCTTTTGAACACGTTTGTCGGTTTGTGATCAAATTATTTGTAGTTTTAATTAAGGGCAATGGTATTTAGTTTGCAGCAGTATTTAAACGTAAAAATATAGACATTTTGAAATTTGAACTCATTTTGAGCATAAGCTCATAATCGCCATATCTAAATCTCAATTAAAAAAACTCGCTCTTTTCTTTAAGTATTTAATAATATAAACAGAGTGTTTAGTGAATGCGTATTTAAACGCAAATATAGTGTGGTTTTTGGAAGGGTACATGTACAATTTTGTATGATTTTTCGCACTTTCATTTTCCAAAGCATATATAATAATGACGCAAATATTCTTGCACATCAATGGAAGGTTGTTTGGTTGTCATTTATAATAGAATTCAAAAATGTGGCATTAGTGGTTAAATTAGAGACTAAAATGTAGCAATTTAGTAACGCTTTTTCAGCGTGAAAATTCAGCCTTGGGTAATAAAGTTAATATAATTTTGTTTGTATCAATCATTGGTATCAATATCGTCAGGAATGGTTATTGATATATAAATTATCAAAAATGTAGTTCCATGCCTTTTCCGTTTTACTCAAATGAGTTCACTATTTTGTAAATCCAAACTTTAAAACTAGAGCTATAACCCATTGTACATGACGTCACAGCGCCGGTAACGATGCATCTGGATGACAAATTAGCAATCTATGCATAATATAGAGTGCTTGCATGTGAAATCATAAAAATTCTAAAAGCTTATGTCAAACATAATGTGGACCTGTGTGATAAAATATAACTTTTCTTGAGCATTTACTACACGGCCGTCATGTTGGTGGCCCAATATTATGCAATCTCAGGCCACCAACATGGCGGCCATGTAGTAAATGCCCAAGGAAAGATATATTTTATCACACAGGTCCTCAATTATGTTTGATGTGAAGTATATAAAGCTTTTGAAAGCCCACCAAAATATTTCGACTTAGGTTTGGAAACCGTGTAACTTATAACGGCCTTTGAAAATAATGCTGATGTCAGCAATATAAATTATTTGAGCCCCTTTAATTCATGAAGGAATTACTGTATCAACTTGAATAGCCTGTGAGCAGGCTCTCAAGGTGAAATGCACTGATGGCATACAATTTTGAATATCTGTGTCTCGAATCGGGACGTGAAACTTTCATTGGTCAGATGCTATAATTTATATGTTTCCGCTGAGCTCTATATATGTCAACTGCTGAAGCACTGTGCATAAAAAACACATTAATTGATCAAATTGGTCTTGGCCATCTTATCTCAAAGCACAAAATGTTCTGTTTTGAGAAAACAGTGTTCTGTTTTGAGAAAACAGTATTTAATTAAAACATTTAAATTTTTGCTTTGAATGTCTAATAGTTTGAAAAACAGTATAATTACTGTATGGTCTAAATTTAGTTTGCACGAAAGTTGTAAAACAACACCACATAAGAATAGACATTCCATATTTGGAAATACAAACGTTACGGGGCAGATATTCAAAATTGTATGTCATCAGTGCAGGCTCTCATTTCACCTTGAGAGTCTGCTCACAGGCTACGACTTGAAATTTTAGTAAACACGAAGCTCTAGGAAGATGTTCTGTGACTGGTTGATTATGACAATGACAAAAGATCTTTAGAAAATCCATTCTTTTATTCTTTTTATTTTTTTTTAATTTTTTTCTTTTATTCTTTTGTCATTATCATAATCAACCAATCACAGAACATCTTCCTAGAGCTTCGTGCCAACCCTGAAATTTGCTAGGAATACTTGTAGTAAGGATATATGCTTAAGCTTTTAGAATTTTTTTGACTTCACATGCAAACACACTTAGTCTATAATTTTTGTAAACAAAGCAAATTTTGTATAAAAGTTTATAATAATTTTGTATTAAAATGGTTAATTTTTGTGCTGTATGTGGTTGTTGTACCCGAACAGATATTGTTAGGGAGCATCTGGAGGACACTTTAAGGATTTGTGACATCAGTACAATGGGTCTATAAAGAGAATTTTCTTCAAAGTGTGGGTGGTGACCCCTGGCATTTTTTGCCAATCAGTGCTTCCAGTTTGAACTGTGTCTTTTGTTTTGTACATACTTACCCAAACACATTTGAAATCCCGAGCAGACCATTAGAAATTCCGGGAGGAGAGGGGAAGGTGACAATTACAAAAAAAGTGTAAAAAATATATAATTTTCATCAATAATCTTGAAAATGAGATCAAGATGACTTCGAAATGTCGTTCTTTAATAAATTTGTTATCGCTATCATATTTGTCTAAAAAATATATGTATAAATATATTTCTGATGGCTGTGAATTGGCCACACAATTTGTACAAGATTGTTACAACTGTTTTATATCACAATATCCTTGCCTAGTGTAACATGACATATTTATTTCAAGGACCCCAGTTTGATCTGTACCTGCCTGATACACACATCGAAAGCCTTTGTGGGGTTGATGGAGCCTTCAAAAGTTCCCAACTTGAGCCTATCAGTGCTTCAACAAGTTCGAACCAAATCTCCACAACCAAGGGTCTTCTGATGACATGGGAATCTACTGGGAAAGGGGAAAAAAGAAAGAAGACAGATGTTTCTATGGAAGACTCTAAGAAGAAGATCCACAAAAGACAGAAGACAGATGTTTCTATGGAATCTGTAAAAGAAAGCATGAAAAATTCTGAGTCCAAGGACAGTGTTACAGACAAAGTTACATTTGAGTTTGGTGAAGTTAAAGCGATCACAAACAACATGCATGAAATTGCATACGAGAACTGTAAAAAGACAGTTGACACAGTTGGTGATGGTAAACAGAAAGCCAGAATGAAAGTTGGTTGTGTTGCCACACAGCAGACCCCCAGCTTTCGCAATGGTAACAGTAAGGTGTGTTGTTCTTGTGTTCAAGCACACAGGGGTGGTGATGATGGTGGTGATGGTGGTGATGGTGATGATGGTGAGGGGAAGCCATCAAAAAAGCCTCTAGAGGTTGTGTCGTGCAGCAATGCAGGCAAGCAGAAGCCCAAGAAGAAGAAATCTTCCAGTGAAATGGATGTTGACCATGTATCATCAAGTGCTATGGACATGAGTTGTGAAAGCACTGTAACTGAAAACACAAGTGACGTAGAGGTGGGTGTCTGAAAAAAAGCTTTGTTTGGTATAAAATTCCACATCTTTTTAATAGCAAAGCCTTTGATCTGAAAGGCTGGAACTTTATCATCGCAAATAATAATACTATTGGCTAAAATTCTGTGTTATTAGTTAATGTACCCACCAGTTTTAAATTACTTTGTTTTACTTTATGATAGGTGATCTCAGATCAACAGCAGGAGAATACACCTCGTGTACAGCCTCAGTTTACTCAGGAGTTTGTCGAGAAATTAGGGAAATTACCTGGTTATGTTAACCATTACGACTTCTGTGGTACAAGACCCTGTGTTACATGTCATACGGTAGGTATTAAAATCCTTCAGTAAATTTGTGAAAAATATTTGAACATTACAAAAAGTCGATGGCAATTAAATGTGTTGCATGTCATTGAGCAAGAAAATTTGAACTACATCCCTTTGCTACCAATTAATATACCAGCCCTTGTCATTGGAATATTTTTGCCTTGGCAAAACTGGCAAACTGAGACAAGTAGGAATGTTCGATATACTGATTGAAACCAACATCGGTTTATTGGTATGAATTTTTCAGTCATACCGACGTACTGAAATTTACGAATATATTGTAGTTTTTCGGTATACCATATCAAATTTACATACCATGCATACGGCAAAATCATTAATTTTTTTTACTCAAATGCAAAGTAAAAGAAGCAGACATTTTGTGTTAAAAACAATGTCTGTTTATGAAATTCCTTTGAAACAGCTTCGAAATTATCATAAACAGTGTTTCGACTTTTCAAATTATTCAAAATTTAAAATTTCCAAGAGGCAAGTCAGGATTAACATTATTTCACTGATATGTGTTAACTGCCATTGTTAGCTGCTATGTAATAGTGCTCAGTAAAACCTGTTAACCGTTGTTTGTCAAGTAAGGATTATTTCATGACTACATTTAATTTTCCAAAATAAACTTTTGCAGGTCGAAACAACTCTGATCCAACACCATTTTAATGAAACAAATGGTACATGTAGATGTCCAAATTGCAAACTGTGGTTGTGTGTGCTTAAATATCATACTGCGACCTGCATATTTGAGCATTGCATTATTTGTAAAAAGTATGTACAATTTTTACCACTTTTTTGCCTTATTAAAATTTGACATGATAGCATAATTTTTACCATACCAGTTTTCTTGTGGTTGAAACAAAATTACTGTTTCAGAACTCACTATCCCCTCCTGTAGACTCTGTAGTATTGCCATTGGATCAACTGTAAATGTTCTTACTTGTTCATTCATTATTCTGCTTTCAGGGCCAAGGGTATACCAAGCCCAGCTCCTGCAGCCCCTGTGATTTTTCATCAGACACCGAGTCTTGATCCCAATGACTTGATTGTTTGGCGGGTATGTGACTTCACTGTTTAATTTGAATTGAGCATTCTATCAAATGATGCTGCTGTTAACATCAAACTCTGTCATTATATAGTGATGGCAAACCTTTTACATTAAGTGAACTTTTGAGTTCATGACAACTAAATAATATAATACATTGAAAAATATCCAAATTCTCAAAATACAGGCCTTAAAATATCTTTTACAGGGCCGTCTGACAAAATGTCCGGTGACGTTGAGTTTGGGTGGGACATATGTCCGATGATTTTCAGTTCAGTTTTGACTTGGAAATAAATCTGAATGACACAAATGAATTATGAATAAACGATAAATATTGTAAAGATAAAAAATAATTTGTTTCTTTCATACTTATTTCCAAGCCAAAATCAACTTGCTTTCCAGAACAGCAGTATTAAAAAAGACTTCGACAACTTAAGCCTGTTTTCCACTTCACCATTTCGGTCGCCGCCCCGCGCTAGCGCTCGACTACGTTAAAAGAACATTTCCAGTTCACCTTTTATACAATAGTACTCTGATTTTCCATTTAACATACAAGCCTCTAGTCCTGGGCTAGCCGGTACATTTTGATTTACGTCGGACAAAGCTACAGTTTGGTCGGACACCAATACACTCGGGTCGGACAAACAATAAATCTCAGTTTCACTTTGGTCGGACAAAATGTCCAGTGGTTTCCTCTCTATGTCAGACAATTTCACGAATGGGTCGGACAATGTCCGTGACCGACCGATATTTTAAGGCCTGCTTGAAAATACATTTATTTTGAGAATTTGGATACCAGGAAAAAATTCCAATGTCACGCCCTGCAGTAGAGTGGTTAAAAAGTCAACACATAACCTTACATTATATATGGATGCATACTCAAAACCTTATTTAACATCGATGGGTGTGTTGCACCTTGACCACTTGACACTTGACCACAACTGTTAGCAATCAATATTTATTTTGCTGATTGCTCTAGAACAAAAATTTTCCACATGATATTACTCATTTTGAAGAAGAGATTACATGTTTATAGAGATTTAACGTTAAGAGAGGCTTACAATACTTTTGGGAAATCAAATTAGGTTACTGCAAAACAACGTTTGCGGTAACCCAGGTTTGGTTATCGCAATTTTGGGCTAGTATTTGTGGGTTCTTGTGGGAGTTGACCGGTCAGAAATTGCATTTGACTGATCACCATGGCCTGCATAACATTAAAGGTGCTCTACAGTCCGTATGTAAACAAAGCCTTTGTTTACATTTTTGTGTCCAAAATATTGAGCTTTATTCAACAACTATTTATATTTTCAAGCTTCTAGAGTATAATAAATGATCAAGAAACAATAATCAGGCTTTTCAAGAACCCAAAACATAGTTAAACTGTTTGTATCATAGAAAGTGGGCTGCTTTGTGCACATGCGCAGATCGGACTGTAGATCACCTTTAAACATTTTGAGCCCTGACTTCACATCTTAACCAAACCTACTTAACCAATGCAAACAAATAAGTAATGTAACATAATATACTGATTGGTGTAGGATAAATGTGTTCCAGAAGACATCACACATTTCAAAGAGGACCACCATTACATGTTAAAAGATTCCATCATCGGTAAAGGTGGTCATGGAGCAGTCCAAGATATGATAATGTCAGATGATGTCAAGAAAAACATGTTCAACTCGGATTGTATTGACTTTGTCATGAAAAAGGTACTTCTAAACTCGAGAATTAAGTACAGTAGTTTACTATATGAATTTCCATACAGGACATTTATAAGAGCAAGAATATTAAACTGTATCTCAATTAAATTCTTTGTAGGTTTGCATGGCGATAAAACATATGATACTTTTTTTCATATTAGCACTGATGAAGATCCGGGCTTACGGATCGAAAGCTAATTTGCAGTAATAAATTTACGTGGTGTTTCCAAAAACAAAAAGTATTATATGTATCTCAATTATTTTTATTTGTCACCAAACTAATCAACATCAAGACTACTATACCGGGTGTCCCAAAAAAAAGTACTCCTGTTTGACTCGTAATAACGTCTAAACAAGTAAAGCTTTTAAAGAGAAATAATTTGCATCAAATAGAGGAAGGACTAACTTAGATTTTGATATGTTACAGTTGTATTTTACTTAAAAATTCACGGAGATATTAATCTTTAAAATCGGGAGCATATTTCTGGATGTGTCTGACATATGCAAAAAACGGCGTATCAAATATTAATCAAGATTTGCCCGACTGAAACATGCACTATTACCAGTAAACAAATGACACTTGACAAATTGTTTATTATGAAACAAAGTATTATTATATCTACAAAATACAAGCACGATTTATTCGTCCGAAATTCGCGTGTGTTCCTAGGACGAATACGTTTCCTTATTTCATGAGACCACTGCATCGCGAAGGATCGTCATGGATCGTTCGTAGTTCTGAATTAGGGCATGCTGTCACAACGGAATTGTGAAGCTCTTCTAACTTCTGTAACGTTCTGAAATCTTGTTAAGAACACCAAAACTCTTTTGCCTTTTCTTAATCTTGGCAAGTTCAGAGTAAACTGAGAATTATATGAAACACAATCAAACCATACAACTCCATAAGACATAACAATTAAGCAACTCCCCAGAGACATGCAACATTTTTGGAACAAAACGTAACAAAATAGTAGCGTTGATACGGTGATGTGTATTTGCCAAAAGAAATATTATTTCCTTCAATAAAGAATAATATTCATCCTGCTCTAACCGAGAAATAATCTACTCAGTTTGTTTGAACCCATTAAAAACATAACAATTTAGGCTATTTAAGAATATGAAAAATTTAAGCGCCTGCCTTCCATGGTCAGTCTTTCATGTACATTTAAGTTCGTAGAGACCTAATATTAAATACTTGGATAATTTCGAACGTTCATATTTCAGGAAACAATGAGTTAAGACTTACATGTAAGATGTCTAAATCTACGCCATATCCGTTACAAACCCTAACGATAATTCGCTGAAATACAAGTTAGCCTGATATGTCATTAAGCAAACAAACGCTGGAGTTAATATTTGATATGGCGATTTTCGCTAATTTTAGACACATCCCAAAATATG